TGAATCGATCCGTAGGTTGACATTTTTTTAATATATTTTTTAATTATTAATGTAACATATATTTTGGATAAATATATATATTTTTTAAAAATAACCCGACACCTCAACTCAAAAATAGAAGGTGAGTCGAATATTCATAAATATAATATTTAAATAAAAAAGGAATTAAAAAAGCATTAATAAATAAATAAATAAATAAAAGCATTTTGAATATCAAAATTAATAATTGTGTTAAATGAATTATGCCTCGTTGAGAAGTTCAATGAATTAGATATAAAATAATAATAATAATAATAATAAAATTATTAAATTTTTATTTTTATTTATTTATTTTGGGTTTAAGTGGATGTGAATATTCTAATTGAGTCAACTGTTGTTAGTGCAATTTTGACCATACTTTTTTTTATTCCAAAAAAGAAAAAATCTACTTTTTCTGCACAAAATCTTACAAAATTGATTTTTTTGGATTTGCTTTTTAATTACTTTTTAAAAAAAGATTTAGCTTTTTTTTAATTTCTATTTTCAAATAATTTCATGATATTTTCTTTATATTTTTTATTTTTAATATTAGATTATATATGAATCACGACCAAGAATATCCAATTACAAAGACGAGAGTCAAGAAGCTACAACAAACCTTGTACACTTATATTTAAGTTATGGTGAGCTCATCAAAAGAAATTCTAGAAGATGTTAAAGAACTTTCTTATATGTTATGCAAAACGTTAAGAAAGAGAGGTATTAAATGCATTTTAAGTGACATTTAATAAACTCACATGAACTTATGGAGCCAGTCAAAAGATGGTTGATAAGAACATTTAATTCATTGCACTATTTAATTATAACTTAAATATTCGTTTGTAATATTTAAGCTAATTTTTAATATAGAAGTTAAGGTTATATTGTAATTATTAAAGAGTGTAATGAGTGAAATGACTTTATTAGTCATCTTTTGACTAGTTCCATAAATTCAGCTGAGTTCATTTAATGTCATTTAAGTGCATTTAATGCATCTTTTTTTAAAAGCTCAACTTAGCACTAACATATAAATGAGATTTCCAACGTTTTCTAGAATTTTCTTTGATGAGCTCACCTCTCTTTTAAAGCTCAACTTTGCACTAACATATAAGGAAGGTCTCCAACGTCTTCTAGAATTTTCTTTGATGAGCTCACTATAGCTTGAATATAAATGTACAAGGTTTGTTGTAGATTCTTGGCTCTCGTCCTTATAATTTGATGATTATAATTCGAGTAAATTTATATTTAAAAAATTAATAATTTCTAGAAGGTTGAGTTTTTTTTTTTTTTTTAATGAAGTCAAATGTTGCGTAGTTGTCTTGTCATATCATGTCATGTCATTTCGAACTATATTTTCTTACTTTGGGTTTATTTGTCAAATGACTAAAAATTTAGTGGATTAAAATAAAATATTTAAAATTTAAAAATTAAAATAAAATTAGAATTAAAGTTTAAATATAAGATATTGTTTAGATCTTTAAATTTAGATGATTTTTTTTTTTTTAAATATTGGATTTACAAAAATGAAAAATTTAATGCAAAAACCTAACCCTTGACTTATGAAAAAAAGTCAAGATTTTGATAATTAAATACAACATCTGGAGTGAATATGAGTTGCGTTGGAAAAATCTTTGACCAGTCAAAAGATTCGGGTCGATCGGGTTGGTGACTCGAGAAACTTTAATAGAGTTAACAATCTAACCCTCTATCTTCGAGTTGAGTGGTCGAGTTTTTTAAAAAAATATATTTATTCAAAATACATATAACATTGATAACAAAAATCTCATAAAATTTAAATATCAAATATTTTACGTCTTGAGCGCATGATATGAACCACGACTAATAAATTTTCATATCTCAAGGTTCAATTAGAAGGACGAGAGCCAAGAAGCTACAATAAACCTTGTACACTTATATTAAGTTATAGTGAGCTCATTAAAAAAAAATCGGTAAGAAATTGGAGACCTCCCTTATATAAAGTTGAGCTTTAAGAAAAAGAGGCATTAAATGCACTGTAAATTGCACTTAATTAACTCAGCTAAATTTATGGAATTCTAATAATCACATTTCATTCATTACACTACTTAATTATAATTTAAATATTTACAATCTTAATCTATGTGACATTTAACTCCTAAATTAAATTGGCTAGTAAATGAGAAATACCCATAACCTCCATATTAACATCTAACTCCTCTATTAAAAACTAGCTGAAATATGACAAACAAATATTTAAATTATAATTAGATAATGCAATGAATAAAATTTATTATTAGTCATCCTTAAACTAGTTCCATAAATCTATCTGAGTTCATTAAATGCAACTTAAAGTGCATTTAATGCATCTCTTTCTTGAACCACAACTTTACACAACATATAAGTAAGATATTCGATGTCTTCTAGAATTTCTTTTGATGAGTTCACGATAACTTGAATATAAGTGTACAAAGTTTGTTATAGCTTCGTGGCTCTCGTTCTTGTAATTAGACCTTGAGGTATGGAAATTCGTTGGTCATGGTTCATATAAGCGCATCTCTAACATCTGCTGCAAACGTTAAATATTCTTAATATTTTTAAAACTAGAGGAAGATTGTAACCCTATTTTCAAGTTAGTCGGGTTGATTAAAAAAAAAAAAATCAAAGTGCAAAAAATTCAACCTAGCTCAATCTTTATGGTTTGAGCTGAGTAGATCGAGTTGATTAAGTTATCGAGTCATATAAACACTTCTAACGTTCCCCGACCATAGAATTTATTATCAATCGATGACATTTGACCGAGAAATGAAGGGTATAATTGCAAAATGGCAAAATTAGAAGGACTTAATTGCAAAATGAAGGGAAAGATAAACATGGGTGACCCACAAGAGTAGGGTATGCCCATAGTTTTTGGGATAAGGTGAGTGTCCATTATTAGCAGAAGAAGCCCTTCAAGTAGCTGTCTCCAATTCAAATGCCATTTCATGATCACAACCACCCATTCATTTCCACATTTTCTAATCAAAATTATTAATCTTTCAATTCCAATGCCATTCATTTTTGCTAACCATTTTTTAAACATATATCTTCGATATGAGCTGATTGATTGAATTAATGTCGATCGGGATTAGTGGATTGATTCAAATGGATTGTTCGGAACTTAGCTATGATGCCATTTATAACAGTCTAACCTTATCGCTAGTAGATATTGTCCACTTCGGCCCGTTACGTGTCGCCGTCAGCCTCATTATTTTAAAACGCGTCTATTCGAGAGATGTTTTCACATCTTTATAAATAATATTTTGTTTCCCTCTCCTGGCTTGGTAAGCTCGTTGTTAGATTAAGTGTCAATTCCTAAAAAAAATTGACCTTTTTTTTAGTAAGGCTCGAACAAGACCACATTGGGTGATATATATAAATTTGGAGTAATAATCAACACATACCTAAATGTAGGCCTAATGTTTGAATTTTTACTTTAAAAGAATACGAGTTTAAAATTCTATTTTAGTTGTACGGTTAAGACTTGCACTCTTCTGAACATTTAATTCATGACACTTTAAGGTAAATCCATAAATATTTTTAAAAGACGAGCAAAATTTTAGATTTTAACCATATATATTAAAATCCAAACTTTTTATTAAGACCGTAAACTTTCAGTGTTGTGATCTTTTCTTAATTTTTAATTTTTTTTAAAAAAATCCAACTTACGAGGTACAAAATTGAAATTTTAGGAACCATTTAACGTAAAGTTTAATTTTATGTAATAAAATAAAATTAGTTAATTCTTAAATTTTTTGAATACTCGACCACTTGTCACAATCGCACTTTTGATGGCAGCAGACTTGTGATTGTGGTGCACTCACTTTCCAACGACAAGTGATCTAAGCCAATTCGTTCTTGCGTCTGCTACGACCAAACGACGTATGCTTGAGCCTCTGGCCTCGATTTTAAGAGAAGGTTTTAGAAAACGAGAGCAGAGAGGTTTTTGAAAGAGAGGTTTTTGAAGGAGATGTTATATAAGCAAGCAAGAGAGAAATAACAACGGCTCAAATTATATAACCTTGGAGACATTGAGCGCCGACATGAAAGGACAACAGTTGGAGGAGTCCCCACCGGCCACCATCACCAGACCAACCAACAATAGCAACAAAGTAAGCCCTACCTCCCATACTTATTACCATCTAATATTTCTGCAACTTGCCTGGTCTCTTTCCCAACCCCTGACAATAGATAAGCTTCACACCACCTCGCACTCAAATCCAACCACTCGGGTTCATCCCGTTCGGTAAAAAAGTGTTCTTTAAATCTTAGGAAGATAGTCCAGACTGACCTGAGAAGTGTGTTTATGTATTAGGGTGACGTTCAACCCGTGTCATTTGAGAGAAAAAAGAAAATAAAGCATTCTAAACCGAGTTCTTCCTGTTTAACACGATCAGATGTAAAGGGATCAACTTGAAATGACTTTTTAAGTGCTTAAAAAAAACAACTTTCAAAGAGTGTTTTACCCATGTCATTTGAGGGAAAACAAGAAACAAGCATTCTAAACTGAGTTCTTCACGTTTAACATTATCAGATGTAAAAGAGTGCTTGAAACGCTTAAACCGACCTGAAGTGTGGTTATGCAATAAGGCAGACATTCAACTCGTGCCATTTGAGGGAAAAACAAAAACAAAGCATTCTAAACTGGGTTCACCCCATTTTAACACAATCGGGTGTAAAAGAGTCGGATTGAAACGTCTTTCTAAGCGTTTAAACATTTAAGAACTTTGAAAGGTATTCTAAACCATCCCGAAGTGTGGCTATGCAATAAGACAGACATTCAATCCGTGTCATTTAGTTTCTTGAAGACAACAAGACAAAAGACTAAAAATCGTCATCGAACGGTCACCCGTTTAGCTGTCGGGTTTGACATTCCAACCAAGCCAACACAGATTGAACCCTCCAACAACTCTATGGTCTCTATAACTTTCAATATGCAACCACTAAAATGAAGAGAAGACATAAGGGAAGATGAAGATGCTGTAATAGTTATTCACATAGACAATCATTTGGACATGTAATCAACAACAGGGCAGCAGAGCAAGCAGTAGCAGTAATACTAGAAGTTCATACGAAGGATTCTCTCCACTTATTATCAGTCTAATGGAGAAACTTAGACTTACATTACATGATGACCTTAATGATATTCTACGAGCTAATCACATTTCTATTCAGATAACACAGTTTCACCAAGTTAGGCAAACCCCATAACAGAGAGATCGAGCGAGAGACTCGAACCGTAAAAGTACCTGCTATGAATTTCACTGCTGCAGCGGTTGCTGCTGCTTTCGATGGAAAGAATGCGTTGGTAAAGCATCGAATTGAGATCAGGCTCAATGATACCATAATGGAATATCCTGCTGTTTCGACAGTGTATCGATGGCTGCTGCACCGGGTACTTCTTCTTTGTAGTCGAAGGTCGACAAATCAAATGGAGAGCCAAACATCATGTGGAAGTTGTTGTTGTTGTTGTTGTTATTGCTGTGCTCGTGGTGGTTGTTTTCGAAAGGTGAATTCATTGGCTTAAACTGGTTGAATTGGCTGCTAGAAACGTTCGATCCCTCGAAGAAGTTTCCGTCCATCATTATACCTTGATTGCGAAAGTATTCGTCTTGTTGAGGTTGTATCTTTAACTGAGGAAGATTTTGGTTCTCCGTGATAGCACTGTTACCGGTGTTTACGTTGCTTTTGTTTCCTTGGATGTTGGTGTCGTAGATCGACATGAGCTCCCTGATCATCTTTTGGTCGTCTTCTGGAACGCCTAAAGTGGACAGGTCGAAGGACGATGGAACCGAGCTAACTGGGGGTGGAGCTGACTTGGGCGGGGCAAATGACTGAGGGAAGATAACTGGTTTAACCTCATTGACATGAAAACTTGAGCCATTGAATTCTGAAGAAGTTCTATATGGACAGGACAACTGATGATTGTCTCTAGACGTCCTGTCGTTGAACCCAAGACGAAGCTCGCTATAAGGACACTGGAGGAACTCACAAGTATAGATCTTCTGATCCATCATCGTGTTCAGATCGCTGGTCGGTTTCCTCTTTCGCATAAAATCTAAGTTCGTAGAAACCTCTCCTTTGATTGCATATGGTGGTTGTCGAAGGGGCACCCGTTCTCTCGTTCTCTCCATTCCCAAGTTGAACGAGCTATGGTTATCAGGTTTACGATCTTGAACATCAAAGCTCGGTTCCTCCTCAGCGCCTTCTACATCGTACTCGCTGCAATCGTTAATGACCAATGATCCACTGCCCCCACCGGAAGACAAAGGCGGGCAAGAATTGGGATAAAGCTCCCGAGCCAAGACCTCCTCCTGGTTGATAATAGCAAGCCATGTAGCACTCTCCTTGGCAGTCATCTTGTCCTGCAAACACTTCGACTGTCTAACAAGTTTTCGGATCTTGGCGATATCAGGGGACATATGCTTGATTACAGCAGTCAAAACACCAACTTTCCACGCTTTTTTCAAGTCGTGGGGCTTCTTGTAAGGTGGAGGACCTTGGTCCTTCGACAACCCGAGCTGAGGCCACCATTCCTCGACTCCAGTAGGCCACCACGGTGGAGGAACGCCTTTCTCCAATGGAAATCTTCTTTGAGGAGGGTCACAGTGCTGCATCAAAGCTGATAAAAGTGATCCAAGGGTCGTATCCTGAAGTTCCTGCAAGGTGTGCGGGGTTGGACCGATCGAATTACACCCATCGTTTCGTCCAGGAATTGCATTGTCTGCCTGGTACTTAGCTATGGCAGCCGGTCCGTTTCTATCAAATCTAACCTTGTCTTTCCACCATTCACGCAGATTATCCGATGCCCCGGTTACTGGCTTTCCCTTCTCTGGAATTATTCCATATACAAAACCTTGAGCATTACAAACTTCCATAATCTTCAACATGTACTTCAAGATCCCATCATGAGCCCTCGACATCTTCTTCCTCCTAGCCTGGTCTTGAGACTGTCGCTGCTTCGCAATATCGATCCCTTCCTTAACCTTACTTTGCTCTTTAAGTCGTTTGAGACGCATCTTGTCCCTCCACATCCTCCTCTCAAGCTCATCAACATCGATCTCTTCATCTGAATAATCATCTTCCACCACAACTTCAGGATCAGCTGGTCGAGCTACGACATCTCCATCCACAATCGGAGCCGAAAGGAAATCCATATCATCACAAAATCCCATCTCATTGAACATCATCATCATTAACCCAAAAAGGGTATTCACCAAACTCAGATTTACACAAAAAACAATAGACAAATCCTACTAAAATTCACTGTGCTTCCTCACCTATGCAAATAAATTTCAGTCAGACTCAGAATCGATAAAGAGACATTCATTTCATTCTGAATCGAAAAAATCGCAGCCACGAATCGATACATATAACGAAGAACACCATTTATTCCCTCTAAAAGTTCCTCAAAACCATGAAAATTCCTTGTTCTTTCTAAATATTCTTAATACATGCAAAGTTCAACCAAATAAAGAAGATCAAACAGGGGACAGAACAATTTCTTCAAGCTGTTCTTAATTCGTTCTACACAGAAATTAAACTCAGAATCAAAACACAAAAGAATCAGAGCATTAAACATCAAATCAGAATCAAACGCTTCAACACAAAGTAATCACAAAATCAACAATCAGATCTCATCTCCAACCTGAAAACGAACACATATCTTCAAAAAAGAAAACAGAACATCACAACCGATCATCCTCCAAAAAACCCCAAAAATCAAATTTCAAAGCAAAATCAAACAGATTCAGGTCTACAAACAAAATCCAACTCACAAAACCATAAAAAAACACCCGTGAAATTACTCAAAGAAAAAAGCAGTAAACGATTAAACAGAGAACAAAAACAACCTGAAGTGAAGAACAAGCGAGAGAGATAAGAACTGGAAGTCAATCCAGGAGGAAGAAACCGAGTAATCAGAGAGAAAAAGGACGATAATCTAATCTAATAAAGAAAAGTTGGGGGAGAGGGGGGAAGGGTTTGAAGTTTCATGTGAGATAAAAAAAAAAAAAAAAAAAG